TCTCATCTTACATCTTAGATTCCTTTTTTTTTTCTTCACATAGGTTTATTAAGGGAGGGGACACAAAGGCTGCTTTTGAATGAGGGTTGGTGGGAAAGAGAGCACATTCTAGATTTCTTTGACCATATTTATTGATCACCTCTTGTATTTTAAATGATTATAGTATATGAGGGAATGCATAAACAAACATTCAGTAGCCTTAACTACAATATTATAAAACATTCTTATTATAGAACTTAAAATAGGAGTACCTATCATTTTGTTTAAATAGCTATCAAACATATCTTTGCAATGTTTGAGAATGCTTTAATGAGACTTACCAAAAAGTAATGCATTTCCTTATTATTTTAATGTTTACTGTACATACTTTTGCAGTACATACTTTTCTTATTTTGATGAAAATTCATAAATATCAATTCACTTCCAAAATTTCAAAAAGGAGAGAAGATCTCTTTAAGCATTTATGTTCAAAACAAGAAATAAAGAAAAAAAGAGAGAAAAAGAACATAATGATTTATTCAGCTTACTGTTAATTCCTTTAATTACTTCTAAGTTATTGAAACATTACAGATTTCCTCCTTTCAGCTTGATAAAACAATGTAAATGTTTACAGCCAAAAAGGACTTTTGTTTACTTTATGTATGTTTTAAGAATATGAACTAAAATGATGAAAAAAATAAAAGTGAGACAAGACAGAAGAAAGTTCTGTAACACCATGTGCAACATTTTCAAAAGGTACTATTTAACAGATTCCTTACTAGTGGCTCCAGTTTCATTACTCCTGGATAAAAACAGCTTAAAAATAATACACATAAGAAACAAAGAGCAGAACACCACAGACATTTATAGTAAAACACATGGGTAAATAAAAATAAATTATAAGAGTTTTCTTCCCAAATGTTTTACTGTAATTGTGGGTGTGTGTACTCCCATGTACATGGGGCTGCACACCTGGCACTAAAGGATGACCTTTAGGTTTCTCCCGCACCCACTCTGGGTTTTTCAGATCAAACTCAGGTCATAAGGTTTGTATTGCAAGTGTTTTCACATACCGAGCTATCTCACCAGACCCAATTAAAAAGATTTTCTATGTGAGATTCTTGTGGAGAAGAAACATCTGAAGCTCTACAGTACACAATCTTACGTTATGACTATTGTTTTCTTTACTTTAGAGACTTTTTTTTGTTTCATGGTATTTAAAAAATGGTTCTTTAAAAAAATGGTTCTTTAAAATTTTAACACAGGAGATGCTGTAGCATTGAAAGTAGAACTATCTTTTTCATCTGCAACAATTTACTATAAATAAAACTTACTTGCAAAACCTCCCAAATGTTATTCAGTCAAAGTTTATTTAGATCATAACTAATTTTTTGGGACATGTATTAGATGTCAAAGGACAACTGTTCTGTCAGGATTTAAGTAGATGAAAGTTCTTAGCATTAAATAGACATTAAATTTCAGTCTTTGTACACTCAACAAGAAAGAAATAACTGAGCTTCAAATTTTCCATCAGATGCAATCCTCTACTGAGGACAAATCTGGCATATTAAAGGGAGCTTTAAAGAGTTTAATTTGGACTATAAAAGTGAAATGAGATGAATGTTTATTTTAGTTTTGAGATGCAGTATTACTGAGATACAATCATACTATATTTACTTCTATTTTATTTCACTGTTTTTTGTGGAGACAGGGTTTTACTATGTATCTAGAGCTGTCTTAGAACTCACTATGTAGAATAGGCTGGCCTTCCTTGAATTCACAAAGATCCACCTGCCTCTGCCTCCTTAGTGCTGTATTAAAGGCATGAGCCACCACACATGGTATAGTACTGTTTCTTAAATAGATCAGAATGAACAACATTTCTACCAGGAGACAGTGTTTATTTGGGTTTAGTTTAAAATAAGGAAATTCTGAAGCAACTACAAATACATACATACATACATACATATATATATATATATATACATATATGTTGTGTGTGTGTGTGTGTGTGTGTGTGTGTGTGTGTGTGTGTGTGTGTAGAGGGTGTAGAGCCCCTGGAGCTGAAGGTACAGATGGTATAAATAGCCTGATATGGGTGCTTAGAATCAAAGCTGGGTCCTCTGAAAGAGCATCAAGTGCTGTTAACTGTTGAGCTATCTCTCCAGCTCTGAAGTAATCTTTAAACAAACAAGAAACAAAAAACAATGCTAAAAACTCTGAGTATCAGAAATTTGGAAGTAAGGGTTCTTTTGGGGGTATATTTTATTTATTTACTTTAAAAATGGCCACGGAATCACATTTTTAGAGTGGCTTCATAGTTCTGCTATAAAACAAACATTACAGTTTATAGTAGTCCTAAAGAAGGCTTCCATTTTAAAATTGATATATGAGAATATTCATTAAGACTTTAATTAAGGTTTATGAAACAGCTACCACTTTTAGATTAAAGAAACAATTATAGAAGATAGTTTCTGTGCAGATGATTATCATGAATATTATGTCCCTATTTGTCAACTAATTTTTTGGATTGAATATAAACATTACATATAGGGACTACAGAAATATGGCAGAGAAGACTAGAGAAACCCTTTCACAAACGGTAAGTGAGAAACACAGTTTTATGACAATTAAGGAGAGCCCACATGTCACAATGAAAGAAAAACAAACCCACATTGAGCCTAGGTTCCTGTAAGAGCTGAATGGCATGGAGCAAATGCCACTGCATACACAAGTCCCCAAAGCCAGTTCTACATTCAAACCAGAGAACCCTCCTGCACATATGCTATCACAGAGAAAGTTATACCCTGATGGATGCTGTGGGCTGCGATTGGAGATGATGCCAATGGTAGCCTTCTTATACACTCTCATGAGAAATGGAGAATTGCCTAGATGAAGTGGCAGAAAGAAATGTGTTATATATTTGTTACACTAGGAATCAGATGCCTGTGGTATTAAGGAAAGAGGCTATAGAATAATGATGGGATGACATAACCCATGTTTTCAAAGAATCCTTGTTGATAACAGAAACAGTTAATTTGTGTTTTAGTAATTTTCCCTAATGATTTTTCAAGGAGAAAGTAGTTTTTCATCTTCATGGAAACAAATAACCAAGATCCCAATAAGAACATCATTTCTAAGATAACTTTGTGGGCCTAAATCTTCCATATATACTGACATGAATGTTTACTTATAAGAAGTATAAGTATAAGCTTGAAGATCTTGATAAAACTCAGCTTTTGGTGAAACCTCACTTATGATGATGATAGTGGCACAATACACATGGCTGAAATATGTTTATACTAAAGCTGTCGCCACTGTGTTTCAAGCATTATTTGCTCATTAAAACTCCAAAATGACAAAAGAAAAAGTGAAATTAAAGAATATAGATGGCTCTGTAGAATTGTACAGTCTTGTACATCATTCCTATTGGGAGTTTTAAAGTTTTGTATTATTTTTATGGTGCTTATCCTGAGTTCTTTATATTCTCTTTGTTGTATTCTGGTATATTTTTAATATAAACAGGTTTGTGAATAATAGAAGGAAGTCATACTTTCTTGGCTGACAAAAAGTAACTCTCTACAAAGTCAGTTATAAGAGAAAAAAGTCATTGAGAATTATAACAGAAATAAAAATTAAAAGGGAGGGTTGTACTTTATTGATCTAATAAATTTAGCACTATTAGGATATGGATTTTGTCTCATATCTTTTAAAAGTTTCTACAATTTAAAATCTAAAGATGTTAATTTGGTTTTTTTTTTCTTCATGAAATACATGTTTTTTAAAAGGAAAGCATCATGTAAGATTTTTTTTTGTGTGATCAGAATTATTCTGACAATACTGGTCTGCAAATAGTTTAGAAATGTTATACTGTGGAAAAAAAACAGTATCTTAAAATTCATATGCAATTAATGTTCCTTTCTCTCTCTATATATATTTTATTTATTATAATTTATTCACTTTGTATCCCAGCTCTAGCCCCCTCTCTCACCCCTCCATCCCGCCCACCCTCTCTCTTCTTCTCCCATGCCCCTCCCAAGTCCACTGATAGGGGAGGTCCTCCTCCCCTTCCATCTGACCCTAGCCTATCAATTTTTTAACACTTGCTCAAACATGCTTCTGCTTTAGAAACCAGACAGCCCACTATATAATCAAAGCATGTTAATAACATTGTGGATATGTACTTTAGAAAAATGAGAAAATCCAATATGCTGCTGTTTAACACAACAGGAAAGGGAAATCAAACCTTAAGAAGACAAGAACATAGGTCTAACTTTATAATGCATATTTTATTAAAGAACATGATTCTTATAATTAATATAATATTCTGTGTGATAAGATCTTAAGACAATACAGTACCAAGGAAACTATGTAAACTAATTTGCCCCAACCCCAACAGGGTGGAACTCTTTTGTTGATCAGATTGGCTTTGAGTTTAGAGATCCTCCTGCCTTAGCGTTTTGAGTGCTGGGATTAAAGGAATGTGCCACCACCGCCTGGCTAAGTAACCTGGTTTTTCAAGAGGGAATGAATCTTTCATTTTACATATACATAAATGAAATCATTTGCTTTTCCTCGTTTTTTTTTTCCCCCAATAGTAAATTCTGTATGCTTTCCTATGTATTTGGATAATGGGAAGGGATCATTATTAATTTAATTCAAATCTTTATTATCAGTAAAAAACACCTAGATGTTCAAAGAAGAATCTTTTTCTTTAGACAACATAAGCTTAAAAGTAAATCATGTGGTTCAGAGAAATTACCGAGAAGATAGTATCAAGTTGGCCATTTGGGCTTTAGTCATTTCAGTGTGATACAATGACTATTCGAGGTCAAGTTATTCTGACAACAACTTCCCCTTAAAACTGGTGACTTTTCCCCTCTGATACCCTGATTCTTTTCAGCCAAGGGTGAAGTGCAAGGCAAAATAAATTACGGCCAAAAATAAAAATAAAAATAAAAATAAAAAAGGTGAGTGCGAGCATGTTATTGACCATGTAAAAAGACACGTGCAAAATATACCTCAGATACACTATAGGTAGATGAGCACGACGGAAGCCGAGCCTGGTTTTGCAGTGGAGAAAAGAAAACACTGTTAAAGAGGAAATGATAGAATAGTAAGGGTCTCAGAAGGTTTACACGGCTTTATCACCAACAAATTTGCCTATAAATAACAAAACAGCCCGACAAGGGAACACATCTCAAGACTCAAGCTATTTGAAGGAGAACCTCATGATTAAAGAACAAAGCAACCTCAAAATCCAACTCGCTAAAATGCTAAAAAAAAGAAAAAAATATAGAGATGATACCCTACTCAGATAGGTTGTGGTATGAACTTGCTGAGAAGATGCTTATTAAGGGTTAAAGCAAAACACCAAACAATTTCTCCTACAGTGCCACACTGATCTTCATTTGCTTGTATATATATATATATATATATATATATATATATATATATATATATATGTAACTTCTTTATATTATTCGTAAAGAGGGCAAGAAAGTCAGTTTAAGTAATCTGATATACTTTCTTCTAACTCATTTTCAGTAATATTAAACAACCCCTTTCTCTCTTAATACACATGCTTACAGCAACACTATAAAAATACAGTTATATGTATAACTTTTCTCCACACTTACTTTTAATCATTGTTTTTACTCATTGATTCCTCTCTTTGTGCATGTGCACCTGAGTGTGTGTGTACGTGTGTGTTTTTTTCTCCATCCCTCCTGCCTCTTATATTTTGAGATGAAATCTAGTTAGCTGGTTCAGGCTGGGCTAGAACTATGTAGTCCATGCTGGCTTCTACATGTAATCCTTCTACTCCAGCCATCCTAGGATTTCAGGTGTGTCACCACATACAGCTCACTGACTTTTTAAAAATAGTTATTTTTATTAATGTTTTTTAAGATAGCTATTTTAACCTAAAGCCATGTTTAACCTTCATAATTTCCCTGGTCAAGCCCTGTCCCTGGCTGTCACTGAGCAAAAGCGAGTCTCCTGTTCAGGCTCCTGAGTGGCTAACACCACAGTACTATCACACCAGGCTGATCTTTATTAACTCTGAGTTGGTGATGCTCTGGCTTGCTCTTAATTTCTTGGTTGTGATGCCAACACATTACATTTTGTGGCCTATAATGAAAACATTAATTTTCGTTATGCCATGTGAACTGAAACAGTTACCATTTTCTAGTTACAAGCTTGGTGTGAAGTTTCTGAATACAAAGTTAAGAGTAAAGAATTGAAAAAGATGACAAACTGAACAAATCAGAAACAACCTTATCAGATTTGCTATTTAACATATTTGTAGCACCTATAATAGCAAAATACAGTAGGTGCTCATTAAGTATTTATTTAATTAGTGAAAAAAGGAACTCTTTTCCACCTTTTATCAAAACTAAAGTGATTTCCTGAGCCTTTTTAGTTTCTTAACTTAAAGATTTGAGATTAAAATTATCATTGTCACTTGTGTTTGAGGTAGTTTTAAAAATATGGTTAACTTTGTATATTAAGAAATGAAACATCTTTTCAACTTTGTGCATTAAATTTTCCTTAGCAAAATGATAGTTCTAAGAAAATCATGCTTTGCATACTTAGTCTATTTAAAACAGTTTGAGAATCTTGTGTCCTTTTTACCCAGTTACTATTTGCTATTACAAGGAACACTTATTCATCAAGCAGGAAAAAAAAATAATCTTATTTTTTCATTAAAGTCAATTTTGAGAGGAGCAATTCCATGTTGAGTATTCAACACCTTACAGATATATTTCTATTTCAAATGTAGGCATGCTATTTGATATTTTTATCTTTCGATTTGATTTGGACAAATTAGAGCTTTCTTATTTTCAGTACAAATGAAATCTCATGATTAAGTTTTCCCCATCAAGAAACTTCTAGTAATCTGAAAATTAGCTCATTTTGAAAAAAACTTTCCTAAGACTGAATTACTGTTATCATCATTAAAACTAGCCATACTTATGACAGATCATCTACCACAGTGTCAGGATTTTACATAATTACTATAGACAAGTAATAAGCAAATGCAAACTATTGATGTAAATGTTATCTTATCAAACAGGAGAGACAGGCGGCTCAAACAATGTTTTATACATGAGGGCGGACACACTGATATGTGCCTGAGGAAAGTACTTCTATATAAACACATTGTCTAATTAGTGAGGGCTACTGATTGGTCACTAATCCAGAACTAATGCTCCAGCAGTGTGCCCCTGGTCAATACTGGTTAACCAATCAAATACAAACATATTAAAGTATGATGTATTGCTTGACCATGTCAGGGTACCTATCTTATTTGATTTAAATTTCCCTTTCGTCTGACATGAACTCAGTGGCTGGCTTTTTTGATCAGCAACCTCTGATGGGGGAGCAGCCTTACCAGGCCACAGAGGAAGATGAGGCAGCCAGTCCTGATAAGACTTGATAGGCTAGGGTCAGATGGAAGGGGAGGAGGTCCCCCCCATCAGTGCACTTGGAGATGGGCATGGGAGGAGATGAGGGAGGGGGCTACAGCTGGGATGCAAAGTGAATAAAATGTAATTAATATAAAAAATAAAAAAAGAAAGACGAGATTTTAGGTAAGAACAGATAGTCAGTTATACAGACTCTAAAAGGTATAATATGTCATCTTTACTAAGACACTCATAATCTCATTTTGTTTAGCTTCCAAAAGTTAATAACTGATATTAGTAAACTATTTTTACTTTAATAATAAGAGTGTAATATATATACATACAAATGTAGAATATTCTTGTAAGAAGTTGAAATATAAGATACTTAACTTTTACTCTATTTTCATGTCTAAATTAATATAGGAGTATAAATTGGATGAAAAGCAGCAGTCTCAGGAGAAATAAATACAGGAGTTAGATTTCTAGAATGTTTTAGAAGCCCTAGGAATGGGCGGTCAGGATTAAACATAATTTATTCAGTACAATAATTAATTTTATTATAATATTTATTATTTTTTTTGAAATGAATATGTTTTAAAAAGATGCATTTAAAGGGAAGGCTAAACATTTAAAAGCTTTGAACCATGTGTTACAAAAATGTTGCTAGTGGCTGGCTATATGATACATGTATGATATTGAGTGGCTATAACTTAGCATTTTCTTTCAAATGATGTCTTGTACATATGGGCCTTTGTTTAATCATTTAAAAGATGTTACATAAAAGCATTCTTGGTAAGGATGCTTGCTACTAAACTCCTTCCTCATCAAAATATGACATAATTACTCCAAAGGTATCTGAGTTTAGAGAAATCTAATAACTTTGATCATGTGTATCTATTGGTCAGATTATCTATGAGAGTCTAACATTCATAATTTTCCTTGAAAACTAAAATTGAATAACCTTGTCTTTACTCTTTAGGTTCAGTAAGTAGTTAATAATTTTGACGACACATTCATTAACAGGCAAAATACATAGTCAAGTGGATAAGTGCTATACAGATTGTCACATGAATTTTATTAATTTTGAAAATTACATCATTATATAAGTATTGATTTCAAAAAGTTCTTATTTTAGATTGGGGCAAAATGTTATGGTAGTTGTGTGGCTTGCGTGCCTACTAAACATACAATTTAATCTGTATTTTATAAACTTGAGTATGAAGCCACAGTTAAGAAAGAAAGAAAGGGGCAACAGACAGGAAGCAGAACAGATGGAGATGAGAAGACAAACCGATCGGATTTGGAATGCCCATTAGCAGAAAATTTTAGGGGGGAAACATGAAGAAGGGAAATCATACATTTACTCTGAGGAAATATCCTTTCTAGATTATTTCTGAGTTCCTCCAGCTTTTGATGGAGTTAGATATACATGTAAGAACATGAGCTGAAAAAACAAACTTTTCTTTTAAAAATAAGATCATAGCATTATACATTTCTCACTGCATTTTGCAAACATTTCAAAATATAACAGATTTTTCTATAACATTAGACTAATAAAGTTTTCAACAAACTTGTGACTAGGAAGCCAACATATTATTTTGTCCAATCTCTTTCCATTAAAAATAGTTAAGTAAAATATTGCAACTATTCTTAGAATCTCCTAGAGATTCATTCTAAGATTTTTCTACTTGATAGATAAACAGAGAAGAGATAAAATTTGTATTTTTCCCCAAGCAGTGTTCAATCTAAAGCTGCATCCATATTGAAACAAACTGACTGAACTATAACATGATTGTTTTAGTCTTAAGCATGTACTGAAAGTTATAAACATACATACAGTATAACTTTAACTTCTGTATATCTCAAAACTGAATTTCAGCCACACACACATTCACTCATACATGCAAATTACTATGTACCAGGTACTGCAGATAGAGATGCGATTCTTACACTTAGTTTATTGTCAGCTATTTTTAGAAATTTATTTGTATTGTCTCTTCTTAGCTGAATCTGTGTCCTAATAAATGGTGTACACAACAACAGACTTATTGTCTCTTTAAGACAAAGATAAAGTATGACACAGTAAGACATGCTATTGGTATATGATTACATTTTCTGGAGTAAATGATGCTAAGGATACTAATTTTTGAAATAGGCACGCAATCACTATGTCCCATCCTTTACAGAGGTAACTTTTAAATGTAAGGGCTATCCACTATGAGGCAATGTTAAGGAACAGAGAGGATGGTTTTTCTTAAAGAACACAGACATACAAACACAAGTACATCAATGTGCATTCATGTTTGCACATACTTACAAACAACAGAAAAGTAAAACTAAAAAGGCAGAAGAGTAAAGGGGGAGAAACAAGTACAGAAATTTGTTTTTAATAAACTGTTAAATGGAGGTAAATTAGAGCTATGGAAAAATTTGAAATGTCCAGAGTTAATCAGGCTTTAATATAGTTAATGGATTTTATGACAACACAGTGCACTGAATTATGTGGCATTTTGACTAATTTAATAGTTGCTACTGCTGTCAGGATATTTGGGACTGAGATTTAAAAACAATGGTTAACTTTAATTTGTACTTATTTTTACTGGTAACAATTTTCTAAGTTGTTTTTTTTGGTGGTATCATTAAAAGTAGTCAGTGATTATATTTGGGTAAATTTTTTTACCTTTTTATTTATTTTATTTAAATAAATTATATGAGTACCAAGTGCCCAATATATATTGGCCAAGTGGCATTTAGCCATTAACAAATAGGATCATGAAATCAGAAACCTTAACTGTATATTAGTAGATTATATATAAAGTGGGCAAATATTTAGACATATATGTGTTTTCCAAATGTTACATCTAATTTTAAAGGTTTAAAGGAAAGCAAAGGTACTAAGAGTGCTTAAGCATTAAAAGCTGTATATGGGTCGATTATACTTGCATCATAAAGCATTTCTTTCTAGTTTTGTCTTTTGTTTTTATTTTTCTGAGACAGGGTTTCTCTGTGTAGCCCTGGCTGTCCTGGAACTCACTCTGTAGACCAGGCTGGCTTCGAACTTAGAGATCTACCTGCCTCTGCCTCCTGAGTTCTGGGATTAAGGGCATGTGCCACCACGACCAGCTCTTTCCAATTAACATGATATATATTCAATATATGTTATTAAATCACAACAATTTTTATTCTGGAATGATTTAAGCTGGTAATGATGCTAAGAAGAAATTCAGTATTTTTTTTTTTTTTAACAAAATAGGTTAAAAAGAAAGGTGACATTCTAAAACTGTATTAGTTTTTTGTTTAAGAGCAGTTTAAACATATAAGCAGTGACATCAGCCAGAGGAACGGTTTACTCTAGAGCCCCAAATTTCAGGCACAGATAGTGAGGCAGTTGCTCTTTCTGGTTTGTGGTGCCTTTCAAAGCTAGTTATTTGGCAGCTTGCCTTCAGCTGGTTGCTCTATATGTAGCTGGAAACAAAACAAAAAATAATATGACCCAACAGCCAATAAAAATATTAAAATAAAAAATGGGATGGTGAAAAATGGAAAAAGCCCCCTTCCTCCCTCCACCCGCCAAAAAGGAAGAAGTGTAGGCTATAGACAAAATCTTGCCAAAAAATGTTAGAAACATATTTACTTTGAGGGATCCAACTCTACTAGCAACTCCTTTGCTTTCATCCGGCCGTCTAATTTGCTACAATGAGGGAAGATGGGTAAAAAAGACAGAATAAAGAAAAAGTGAACTTAAATTTTTTTTCTACACATTAGTAAGCAGTACATGCAATACATCAATTGACTTAGGCTCCTCTTCTGAGATCAAGGAGTTAACTAACCCAGATGCTATATGACATGCTCTGCAAATAGATCGCTAGAATTCAGTTTCTGGTACGGCACTATTCCTGAGAGGAGGAAATTGGCACTTACTTTTGGTTATCTTGGGGACTTCTGATGAAGCAGTATCTGGAGTAGTGTTACATTTGCATTTAGCTTACAAAAAACAAAGAATTACAAATATACCTATGCACGTTTTTCTCTTTCAGTGTTTAAATGTCTATTCTATTGTAATCTTAGAAACATCAATGGTATGACAAGAAACACAGTGTTCTTCAAGTGCAAAGGTCAGTCCCAACAAGCATCATTCTTACTGGTGACAGTGAGGCTCCTCTGCTTGCTAATCCAAGCATGGAGGCAGTTCAGCTGTCATTATGATTCCCAATTAAACAATCATGCTGCCAACCAGAAAATTTTAATGCCAGACCAGTGTTAGGTATGTTCACTCTTTCAAAGCTTTTTCTTATTTTATCTGATTTTTCTCTCAGATGAAACAGGGGAAGTAAAGCCTGGTGTGGTGGTGGTGTGTACTTACAATCCTAGTTCCAAGGGGGTTAGGATAATCTCAAATTCAAGGCCAGACTTAGTTACAGAGGGATATTGTGCTTGTGTGAGCTTGATGTGCATGCACAGTGCCCCCCCCTCACTCACTTGCTACTTTAATTATTGGTTCATACCACTATGAGTTAAAGAACGTACATAGAATTCAATACACAGAACCTTGATAAGTGAAATATTTTGTAAGGAAGATTCATACCAAGTGAATTTTCTCACAGTCCTGTACTGAGTTGGGGGAACTCTCAATTCTTTTATTTCTAAATAATTTATTTAATTTTATTGAATGTACTTTAGTGTGAGGGTGTCAGATCCCTTGGAATTGGGGTTACAGACAGTTGTGAGCTGCTGTGTGGGTGCTGGGAATTGAACCCCGGTCCTTTGGAAGAGCAGACAGTGCTCTTAACTACTGAGCCATCTCTCTAGCCCTGGAAGTCTCAATTCAAATCATCATGAGACAAGTTAATTGTAGGGCTCATCCTTGTGTTGACAGATAGTACAACTTTCTGCATGATGGCAAATCCAGGTGTTAAAGTCCTTAGGAAAATAATATTCCTGGATGTAAGGTGTAGATTACTGTTAGGGTACCAGAATAGCATATGTAGGTTATTGAGGAATATTGAGGAAATGTAATTCTTATTTTGAAAAAAGAACAACAACAAAAACCAAACAAACAACCCCCCCGCAAACTCCCAAAACAAACCAAAAGTATCTATATAGACAAAAATTATCTCTGCATTTTAAATGAAGTTTTTTACAAATATTTTAGCAAAAAAAAATTAAGTAACCAATTCTCACTTTTCTCAGTGAAACAGAATTTCCAACTTTAGAAATAATTGAGAAGAACCCCAGATAGAAAGAGAATTCTGTCAGTTCCCAGCATCTACTCATTCACTTCTTTAATTCTTTTATCTCAAAGAACATCTTACTCCAAGGGCTGTTTTCCACCTTAAGTGGATACTTACAGAACCTGGATTATAAAGATATTTCTGGTAGTTTCCTATAAAAATCTAGATCACAGAGAAAGAGGATCCAGGCATTCCTGATGAGACCTGATAGGCTAGGGTCAGATAGTATATAAATTACAGAGGCGATAATATAGATTTTTTGTTTGTATTTCCCTTATTTTTGAGATTATAATATAACTACATCATTTCACTGTTACCTTTCTCCCTCCAAAATCTCCCATATAGCTTCCATGATTCAAATTCATGGCTTCTATTTTCATTAATAATAGGAGATTTTAGAAATGAAATTATGAATGTTGGATATTAATTTTATAAACACAGTCTTTGAAGTTATTATGGACAAAAGCCTTTACAGAACCAACATAGTTCTCAAAGATAAAAGTATTGCAAATTAAGTTTCATATTTTTTTGTGACCCTAGAAACAGATAATAGTATCCTATGATAAAAAAGCTCAGAAAGAAAAGGTAAAATTGGTAGACTGTGTTTTTATGCATGTTAGTGTGCACATGGGTGTATACCAAGGCTGTAGAACAATAAATGCTGCTGCTCAGGTGCCATGCACTTTTCTTTTTGACAGTCTTCCACTGTCCTAGAAATCACCAACTAGGGTTGTCTAGCTGCCCATGTCATCACCATGATTGTGACTTTAAGTGCATAGAACAAAGCCTTGACTTTTTCCTTTTATAAAATATGAGTTCTGGATCAAACTCTGATCCTCATGCTTGCAAGACAAATGCTTTCCTGAATGACCTGCCTCTTCAGCATGACATCAAGAGATTTAAAATTCAATGTTCTAATTTATTCTAGTCAAATTTTAATATTCAATTAAAATGGACTAGTATGAAAGAAATGTATAGTTAGTTCAAATATTTATCTTTTAACGAGAAAGAGAAATCACTGTAGAGTAGCATCAGGAATTAATTTACTGTTCACCATAACATTAGAAGTCTCACCTTGTTATCTACTCTTCTATGAAGCCAAGTCTCCTTGACAGAGGTTCAACTGTACTGTGTTTACAGAGCTTGATTAAACACTATCCAAAATTCTTGGGAACAGAAGTACTGAAAAGTTTCGAGATTTGTAGATTATTGAAAATCTTAATAGACTATTGGTTAAATACCTCTATCTTGAAATCCAAAATGCTCTGAAATATGAAACTTATGGAAGGTCAATAACGTAAAATATTCCTAATTTTTTTTAGTATTTTAGATCTGGTTTTGGGTTGTAGATGTTCACTCTCTCTCATAATTTCTTTTATAAATTTCTAGAAATGAGATGGTTAAAACAAAAATGTTGGGTTCTAACTTTCCCCCCATCACTGACTCTTTCTGTGCATACTACACAGACACTACATTTCATATTCTCATGGCACTACTATTGTTGTATACTGACAACAATGATTTAAAACAGTGATGAATCTGACGGCAATATTTGTTCTTTCAAGTTTTTAGAAGATTCCTATTGAGGGTATGCTTTGTTCGTTTGTCAAATGAAGTTGTTTTTTCAAAGGCCTCTTCTAGATTTTCAACCACTGTACTTTTTTTTCTGCATTATTAGAAGGGCTCTAACAAACTACTAAACAGATTTATTGTGAAAATTTTAGTTTGCATTATGTATCAAATGCTGCATTATAAACTGGAGATACAATGATAATGCAGCTGGTCTGAACATAAAATTTTCACTGAGTGTATTTCTGAATTAATCTGTGATTTCTCTTCAATTAAAATAGAACAAATAGTTGATGTTTCAGAAATCTGAGCCAGAAAATATCTAATTTTAGGATATTTATCATTTTATAGTATGAAGTTCTAACAATACTTTCACTGAGATATACTATAATAAAATAACCAATGGAAACTGATATTGACTCAGATTAAATTAAGGTATTAATTCTGCACAAGCCAGACTATTTTTAACTGAGTTTTCTCATAATATTCCTGTGCCACAATGGAACTAAAATTTTTATTGTGTGTTTATATATCAAAGCAATATTTTTAATTAAATTTTTATTTTTTATATTACTTAGTTTATTTACTTTGTATCCAGCTGTAGCCCCTTCCCTCATTCCCTCCCAGTCCCACCCTCGCTCCCTCATCTCCTCCCAAACCCCTCTCCAAGTCCACTGATATAGAAGATCTTGCTCCTCTTCCATCTGACCCTAGCTTATCAGGTCTCATCAGGACTGGCTGCATTGTCCTTCTCTGTGGCCTGGCAAGGCTGCTCCCCCCTTAGGGGGAGGTGGTCGAAGAGCTAGCCACAGAGTTCATGTCAGAGAAAGTTCTTGTTCCCCTCACCAGGGAACTCACTTGGATACTGAGCTGCCTTGGGCTACATCTGAGCAGGGGTTCTAGGTTATATCCATGCATGGTCCTTGGTTAGAGAATCAGTCTCAGAAAAGAGCCCTGTGCCCAGATATATTTGGTCCTTGTAGAGCTCCTGTCTTCTCCAGGTCTTACTAACTCCCCCCTCTTTTATATGAGTCCCTGCACTCAGCCCAAGGTTTGGGCAGTATCCCTGATGACTAAGGACACTGAGCATTTCTTTTTTTTTTTTATCCTCTTCTTTTTTAAAAAATTTATTTATTTATTTTTTTATTATTAGTTATATTTTATTAACTCTGCATCCCAGCTGTATCCCATTCCCTCATTGTCTCCCAATCCCACCCTCCCTCCTTCTTCTCTTCCCTGCCCTTTTCCAAGTCCACTGATTGGGGAGGACCTTCTCCCCTTTCATCTGACCCTGTTTTATCAGTTATCTTCAGGACTGGCTGCAAAGTCTTCCTCTGTGGCCTAGCAGGGCTGCTCCACCCTTGGGGTGGGGTGGGGAGGTCAAAGAGCCTGTCATTGAGTTCCTGTCAGAAGTAGTCCCTGTTCCCCTTACTTCGGGAAACCAATTGGTTACTGAGCTACCACGGGCTACATCTGAGCAGAGGTTCTAGGTTATATTCATACATGGTCCTTGGTAGTGTGTCAGTCTCAGAAAAGACCCCTGTGCCCAGATATATTTGGTCCTTATGGAGCTCCTATCCTTTCCATTTCATACTAACTTTCTTTTCTTTCATATGATTCCCTACACTCTGCGCAAGGTTTGGTTATGAGTCTTAGTATCTGCTTTGATACACTGCTAGGCAGAGTCTTTCAGAGGCCCTCTGTGGTAGGCTCCTGTCCTGTTACTTGTTTTCTCCTATTTCCAATGTCCATCCCATTTGTCTTTCTAAGTGAGGATTGATCATCTTACCCAGGGTCTTCTTTCTTGTTTATCTTCTTTAGGTATATAGATTTCATTATGTTTATCATATCTTATAGGTCTATATGAGTGAGTATACACCATGTGTGTCTT